CGCCCCCACGGCTGAAAGGGCGAGCAAGTTTGGTGTGATGGGGATTCGAACCTGCGGCCCACAGACTGCGAGTCGAGCGCCCTAACCACCTGGCCATGCCGGGCGGAAGAAAGAGTGAATGAAATATGACACACATTAAACGTCTGTTACTTTTAACACTAAGTTTCACTGCGACACTTATTGCTGGAGTGACGTAACTTCTCAAACGATACAAGTTTACAACAGACATTGTACCGGTTACGGCATCTACATGTCGACAAACACTTTACCGGTTACGGCATCTACATGTCGACAAACACTGTACCGGTTACAACATCTACCTGTCAACAGACACTGTACCGGTTACGGCATCTACCTGTCAACAGACACTGTACCGGTTACAACATCTACCTGTCAACAGACACTGTACCGGTTACGGCATCAACCTGTCAACAGACACTTTACCGGTTACGGCATCAACCTGTCAACAAACACTTTACCGATTACGGCATCAACCTGTCAACAAACACTGTACCGGTTACGGCATCTACCTGTCAACAAACACTGTACCGGTTACGGCATCTACCTGTCAACAAACACTTTACCGGTTACGGCATCAACCTGTCAACAAACATTGTACTGGATACGACATATACCTGTCAACAAACACTGTACCGGATATGGCATCTACCTGTCAACAGACACTATACCGGATATGGCATCTACCTGTCAATAAACATTGTACCGGATACGGCACCTAAATGTAGATAGGCATTGTAACGGTTACGACATACAACTGTTAAAAGACGTTGTACCGGATACGGCATCTAACTCTTAACATTGTTTTTTTGTATCGAGTTCTCACTGCCGGTAAAACGGCACAACGACTTTGTTTGCTTGCACTTAAGCACAAAGCTACACAATGGGCTATCTGTGCTCTGCCCACCACGGGTATCGAAACCTGGTTTCTAGCGTTTAAGTCCGCAGACTGGGGGGCACGCGACGACGACGAACTACAAAAGATTCAGAAGAGAAGCTACCTCAATAATTGGTCCAGATGTGACGTAAAACCCCTAGAAGGAAGTATACACCCACCCTTGTTCTGAGAACACCAGTTCAGGAGTGGGAGGGTTTCTGGAACGACGCATTGTCACTTCCTTAACATGTACTAGCATAGAACGCAAGAGCCCAGACAAATAATAAACTTAGTGACCTAAAATAATAACCAAACAATATAAGTCACAAAAATCATTCTACAGTTGGCTAAAATTCGTGTTTCCAAACTAATTTAGTAATATTTCAAACTGTGATAATAATACTGGATGTTTGCTTTTGACCTGATAAACCCCTAAAGTCTTATTTTGAAAATTTCCACTGTTAAATTAATTCTCAAACTTATAGAGCCTCTCCAACAGTTCTGTTTTCTTTATTTTTTACAAAATTTCCAAATACTGCAGTTATAAATTGCCAGACCCGATTTCCATAAATATTTTTTATTGAACCTACCAAATAGATTCAGTCATTAAACATAGAACAACCGTTTCTAAAATAATTTCAACAACAATTATAATGACAGTATATTATTACATACGCTACAAATAAATAAATGATATACCACCACGTCTGTTACAATCCTTCTCACATAGGTTAATATTACTATCTTGACTTAAGAACTAATTAGATTCTA